GACTGTGGTTTTCTGCTTAGAGGGGGTTGGTTTCTTGACTTCCCTCAAGAATAAAGGATAATGCAAAGAACTATTGAATAAGGTCCTGGCTTCTCTTGCACAATAGCTTGACCTGTCGGCTTTGATCTGCACCTTTGTGTAGGGGTCAGCTCCAAAGTCGGCAGGCTTCCCTGTTGTGGGACGGCGGGGTACCCGCAGGCAGATGAGACCTTGGTCTTGGTGTGCAAGCCCTAGGCCTGCTGTGCAGGAGGCTGGTTTGGTGTGCTGCAGCAGTGGCCATAGCAAGTCGCTTACCCAGTGGTCTTGATTGGCTAGTAGCTAGAAAGTGGGCTTTTAGAGAGAGACCCACGGTTGAATGGGTTTTTTAAAACCGTTGGTTGTAGACAATGAAAAGGTAGTTTGCCCTCTTCATGTCTATTTCCCTTCCAGATAGTTGCACCAGAAGAAAGCTGTTCTGTCCCACTCTCCTACTTTGCTCCTCTGTTAAAATAAAAGCAGGGGTTGGCTTATGTCCCGCTCCTGAATACATGTAAAATTTGTACAAAAATATCTTCTATGAAAATGATTTGTAATCTGTACACATTACTTGGGAGATGTCTTGAGATGTAAAATCCCATCCTTTGGGTTGAGGGTTTTTTGTTTTTCTCCAAATAAATCCAGTCTTTAAAGTTGAAAAAAAAAAAAAAAAGGAATTACACAAATTGCATCCCTAACCAAAGCAAGCCAGCTTGTCCTGTTAAGCAAAGAATACTCCACTGAAATATTTTTAGTTACTTAAACCCCAAACTTAATGTTCATTTATTGATTTTCAACAAACTTACATTAGGGAGAGACTATCTAAGACTATATAAAGGTAATTTCCAAGGACACTTTTCAACTTCATGATTCTATGGTGTGCTAGATATCTGAAAATGACTCATTAGCATAGCATACAGAGATACATCTTAAGGAAATTTCAACACCAGTATGGTTCACATCAATACATTATTTCTAACCATCTACAAATTCAGAAATCACTATTGTAAAGTCAAATGTCTGTATTAAAGTGATCTGTCCCACTTATTTCCTTTATCTCAAATAGGCACCTCCAGAACATGTGAAATGTGATTTGCATAGTAAATTCCATTAGTGTCCATTCATATCCTTTTGTATCAGTATTCACATCAATAATATCTTACAGCAAGCACATGGCATCTTCTGCTAGAAGGTTTTCTCCAAGTCACAAGAGTGTGCCTATCTCTTGCATGGGGAAGGCTGGGAGTGCCAAATAGTTAACATTCCTACTCTTCACCAATGATAATTGGAATTGGTGACTAAATATCTCAGCTTCCTTTCTCCTTGAGTAGATGACTCTGAGCTGTCCTTTACCCTATATCCCAGGGGTTCCCACTATGAATGAGCTCTGTTGCCTATATCAGGAATATGCTCACTAACACTAAAATATTACTTATCTTCCTTCTCTTATTTCTCCACTCCTTTACCAGTGTGTGCTGGCATCATCTCCCAAATAATTCACTTTCATGCAAATCTGTGTCCCTAGGTCTGTTCCAAGGGGGGTGGATTCATATAGGATAATAAGTAAGATAGAAACAATATCATCAGAATCCACAAATGTGCACTAGAATGAGACTTGGTTTCATAGTAAGTGAGTTTGGTGTCAAGATCTCATAAGCATTCACAATGAATTTCCATTACACAAAGCATGCTGGTTTTCTTTATGAGCTTCTTTTAGTTCCTCAAAATTATGGTAATTCCTCATCACCTCATCTGTAGATCTTGACTCGGATTTGGAAATTCAACTTATTCATAAATTTGAATTACTCATAAGGTTGATTCATCCATGGCCTATCATGACCCTCCCACTTCTCTCTCCTTCATGAATTTTTCAGTCTCAAGGTTCTCTGTTAATCATAGAAGCCTAATTTTATTTTCCACTCAAATGGGGAGAGTGAAAAATCTACTATATTCAGTTTTTGAGCAGACAGTAAGTTGGTGATACATAGTTAGATATCATCTAATGCAGGCTAAGATATATGACACTAAGAGGGGAACTATTAATAATTAAACTAGGGCAGGGCTAGGGATGGGGCTCAGTGGCAGTTCACTTGTCTAATCACTGTGTAGGAGGCTAGCTCCCACTTTGTCCCAGGGTACTCTTGAAGAGAGGGGGATAAGAAATATTTAGGTAGAAAGATAGTGTGGAGAAGACAGACAGAAACGCAGGATAGCTTCGAGAGGATCTGAATCAATATCCACCAGCTCCTTTTGTCTCTTCAAAAGGGCTTTTAATAGGAATTCCAAAAGGCAGCGCAAAAGACCTCTCCCTAGCACAGCCAAGTGCAGACCCTTCCAAACACCTGGTAACCACACATATGGTCACATCATCCCCTAATGCAGTCCTGCTGGGTAAAGCAAGCTCAAATCTCACTATGAAACCTCTGTGGGTCTCTGCATATGTATAAATCCCTGGGTTCATCTGAAGTTCAAAGTAAAATAAAATAGGATAATAGTATAAATTACTACAATTCTGGAAAAGTCATGCCGGCTTCCCTAAGATTGGATTCATTAGTAGTCAAATATCATGGCCTCTATGTGTGTGTGTATTGGTAGGAATAGTAACTGTCACAGGATTTTTCCATGAAGGAGTCTGGTGATTTTCTAAGAAAAGGAAATGAAAATATGGCCCTTGCTAAGTTATAAAACATTTCTGTATAGGACTACAAAGATATTTTAATTATCAATAATCATGGTACCAATCATTGAGAACCAACAAGATATTATATTCTTCGATGTATTCAGAGAACACATCCTAAGGCTGATGAAAACTTGATCATGAATTGGTCTGTCTGTGATGTTTTATGAAGATACAAAGCTGTTTGGTAAAATATACATTCTGCAATAAATTCTAGTCAATATGAATGAAGTTGGAACATGAAAACTTAGTAGGTCAAATCAGATAATCTTTAGAGCCAAACATGCCTCAGATCAGCACTTTCTGTTAAGGTATAATTGAAATAAAAACATTCAGAAAGAAGTATACTTGTGCCTGACTTAGATATGAAGAAATTTTGGGAAGATAAGTTGTTATTATTATTATCAAGAAAGTAGGCTTTTTAAAGTTTTTTTTTAAGAAAAAAAGGCGAATATCTCTGAAAATTAAAGAGAAAATTGTTCAATCATTGTTCTGAATCAACATACTATGAAGGTTTACTTTTCTAGGTTCATCTTGTAAATATAATTTCAACATTGCTTGGGAAAAAAGGTCGGTTTCTTTCTATGGAGCTTCAGATATACAAAGCAACTAAGCTTTTCTTTCTAGTATAGGATAACAAAAAAATAGGCTTTCAGTTACTTCCTGGGTGTGTTGAGAAGTGAATTGTTGAAGGCTCAAGTTTAATCTCAGCTAGTACTATCATTACAGCTCTTTATTAGCTTCATATAAGAATTGAGAAGACTGAGTTTGATCAGATTTTCAAAGTGAGTTTCAGGTGACCTATGTGTTTCTAGATATCTTTCAAGAGTCACTTGAAACAAAGGAGAAAAACACAATCAAGAAAGATTCCTCCACATCTCAAGCAGTCAAAAATTCCACCCAAAATGTTTCAACTTCATGATGGATACAGTATATGCCATATCCGTGCTATCACTGTCTATGAGAAGACAACATATGTATTGTAAAATCAGATATCCCCTGTGAGCATCCAGTTACCTAATTCAACATGCTCATAAGCCTCTAAAACTTAACATGCCAAAGATCAAATCTTGAATCTCTTATAATCAAATAGCCTCTTACTATGTTTCTTATTCTAATGAATGTCACAGTATACCTTCAGAAATCCTCAGAAACAGATATTGTCCTAGACACCTAGTTCCCAATTTAAATTTGTCCTCATTCTCATATTCTGTAAATTTGACCTTCTAATATCTCCTCAATTATTTTACTTCTCTCCGTCTGTCTTGTAGCCAACATAGTCCAGCCTGTAGTCATCTCTTGCTTGGATTATGATACAAATTTTCTAAGACCTCTGTTTCTTGAACTCTTTTGATCCATTCTCCATACTTAAAACAGATTTCTATTCTGTAAAGCTAAATCCGACTTCCTTATTTATTAAAAACATTCCAGAAATATATTTCATGTAGATGTAACCAACCATCTTATTAAATAAGAAACACAGAACCAATGTAAAGAAGAAAGCCAAGAGGTCAGAGCTCAGAGCTAAAACCTTACCCTTCCTCCTGTGGTG